TAATATAGAGATGGCAATATCTCTTTATGTTCAACAGGGAAAATGAGCACGGAAGTCGGGAAGCAATGCTGTAGGCATGCCGGAGAGAAGCCATGCAAAATATTAATATTCAAACAGCAATGAGATCCTGAACAATGAGCAAATAATGGTAAAAAAAATTATATATATATATACGTATATATGAACATACCAACACTGGTTATCTTTTGGGAGACCAGGTCTTGCAGTAAAGCCTCAATTGCAGGATTATGTCTGGAATACAACTCGTACCGATTAATGCCAATGTGGAATTTTAACCAGTTTGGGTAGGAGTCTATGGAGGTTTCTCCAGTTGGCAAAAATTCTTCATGATCTTCATTTTGCCTACCACCAAAAAAAAAAAAAAAAAAAATCATAAAGAACAACACAATAAAAATGAGAAAGAAATAATGTTACAGTTTGTAACAGGCATCAAGAAACAGGGCTTCAAAATGTGACAACCTGGAAAGGCAAAGCACTACAGTGAGGGGAGAAGCCCCCAGGTTGTCCCTGTGCCGGCAGCACACCAGGAGCCTGTTCCCACCTGGGGCTAAATGGGAGATGGGTTTTCACTTCCACTCATCATGCCTGATTTAAAGCCCATGAAAGTCACGAGCTAAACTCAGAGTGACATCACTGAGCGTTAGCAGAGGCCCTTATATAGCAGAAACACAGAGCTGCAAGATTTGTATCATCTTTAGGTTTTATTACGTTGCACGTATCTTTTACAACTTTGACTCAAAGGACAGCATCACCCTGAACCTTTGTTTAACAGGGACCTGGGTTGAAACGGAGAGCGCAGCAGTAAGCTGACCTGTTGTACCAAATGCTCCCACTCTCTCCTCTTTTTCTAAATAGAAAGAATGAGAAGAAACTGGATCATTCCAAACTGGTTACTAAAGAATAACTCTGGATGGTTTTGCCCCTTCCCTAGCAGTAGGACACTGTTACAGAAAATGACTGTTAAAGTGGCTTTTAACTCCTAAACTTCATGTTAGTTCTGTGAACTTTGGCTGCAGCCACCAAGGAAAATATGTACAAGAGGCAGCTGCATTGTGGACATCAATGATAGTTTCACTCTCCACCTACTGCATAAACCATCACATATCTTCAATCCGTAAGTCCTGCATGGTTTTAGTCATCTCCATATGTTCATATAATTACGACTTTTTATTTTCCCTCTCAGATAAACCAGAACTTTTCAGGCTATTCCACTTCACAGCCAAGTGTTTTGTTTTTTTTTTTTATTAGATGGAAGGGGCCTGGACAATTCACATGCTCATGGGGCAGAAATCAGAAATACTTCTCCTCTCACATTGGCTGCTCTGCGGCTTGACAGAGCTTTTGCACGGTACAATGCAGCTGTTTAAACATCACAGTGTCAGTGTGTTTGGAAGAGGGTGCTGTTGTATTAGACAACCCTTTTGATTTTTCAGTCACTGAAATTTCTCAGCATTTCTTACTAGCCAACAGGGCATAGTATTCACAGAGGCAACCAACTGCTTTAAAGGCTGGAAAGCAGAAGAGGTGCTAGGACTGGGAATTAATTGAGAATGAAAAATGGAGCACGGATCAGACCCCGAAGGCAGAAATACCTGCCAGGATAAATGCCTTTGTGATACCAGACCTTGATTTTGAAGGAAGTTCATGTGTTACTGCCTGGTCCCACTGCTGGGAGACCAGGAAGGTGCTGGAGAGGAGGCTCACTCCTCCTTCTACTTTTTACTGCTAACATCTGCCTCTGGCTACAGCTGGGGCACACAGACCCTTCAGCCTCGTCACCCCAGCCTGTTCCTGTGATTATTCTGTATTTCATGGCTTTTGGGCTTTGTCTTATTTCTTTTTCCGAGAAGCACAACTGGTCACGCCTGTGTACAAGCCCCCTTTTTAGCCGGTGACACCGAATCGTCCAGTTCAACCCTCTGCTCGCTCCAAACCAGCTATTACATCCATTCTCCTGACCGCCCGGTGAAACCCTACGTTACAAGCGGGAAGGCAGCGACCCGGGGAAGCGCCGCGCCACGTTTCCACACCGTCCACCCAGCGCCCCGCTGCCTTCCTCTTCACTTCACCCCCCCCCCCCCCAAACCCCGGGGATACCCCTACCCCGGCAAACCGGTCCCTGAGCCCCGTGCCCCGCCGTACTCACCACTCGGTGTGCTCGGCCGCCCGCGGGTTGAACCTGATGTCGCTGTTGACATTGAAGAGGAGGTCGCCGTCGGCGAGCGGGGGCAGGGCGGCGCGGTACAGCGGGTGCTGGAAGAGGGCGGCCAGCGGGGCGGCGGCGGCGGCGGCGGCGGGGGGCGGCGGGCGCGGCGCCCCGGGGCCGATCAGTCTCCGTGTCCGCGCCGCCGCCGTGCCCCCCCCGCCTCCCGCGCCGCCGCCGCCGCCGCCCGCTGCCCGCTCCGCCGCTTCCCGCGACTGCGAGGAGAGGTTGGAGCCCGGCTCGGCGCTGAAGTCCTGCAGGATCCGCAGCGTGTGCTTGCTGGGCCAGCGCGGGGCGGCGCGGGGCGGCGCGGCGGCGGGCGGCGGGCAGGAGCAGCCGGGGCGGCCCTCGGTCCCCCGCCGCTCCAGCCGCGGCAGCAGGTCGATCATGATGTGCATGGTGCAGGCAACGAGGAACACCATGAGGATCAGCACCCGGAACTTGCGGACCAGGAGCATTTTCATGGCCGGGGCGGCTAATAAATTACCGGGGAAGGGAGGGGAGGCGGCCGGGTCGGTCGGGAGCGCTTTGGCGGAGAAAGCCCGGGCAGGAGTGGGTCTTCCAGCTCCCCCCCCGGGACTTTGGCTGTCTCCCTTCGGATCGGGAAGCAAGCGATCAAGTCAATAAAGTTACCTCCATAGGCGCCGAGAAATAAACAGGCTAAAAACAATAGGTCCTCATGTCTCAGTATCATCAAGAACTTAGGAGGGGGAAGAAAGAAAAAAAAAATAAAAGGAAAAATAAAAAATAAAGGAGCACCGGACCGGGCTTTTAAAATGAAGAGGAAAACAATGCCAGCGGCATTGCAATGTATAAAGCCATCTGCTCACGATTTCTCTCTCTTTTTATTACAGGGATCACAACAAATAGGGAAAACTGATTCTTGAAGAGAAACCGGCATCAGACACTAGCTCTAATTAAATAAAATGTAAAAAAACTAAGGAGAAAAAAAAAAAAAAGACGGGGTGGAGGAGGGGAGGAGAATAATATTAAGAAAACCTGTACGGAAAGGCGACAGAAGATAAAAAATCATCCATAATATTTGGCTGTGCTGGAAACGCTGACTCCCTTCCTTTGAATGTGCCCAGTGATGCAGCAGAAGCGCTCTCCCGCTCGCTCCCTCTCTTCTCTGAGACTGTTTAAGAACATTGGCTGGAAAATCATTTTCTTTGAGCGGTTCCAGTTTCTTCATCCATCGCGTCCAGTGCTTGGGAGAGATTAGTATGTTCAACTGAGATCAAGTCTGGGTGGCTGCTGTATCCAAGCTGGGCTTTTGCTTTGGCTTGGGTTGGGTTTTTTTGGCAGCAAAACTGTCTGGTGGCACAACTGCAACATAAAGGTTAAATATGGCACAGAAAAAAAAAAGGGGGGGGAGAGAGGAAGGACTAGAGGAAAGAAACTAATATAAATCAGTAGAGGTCTTTTAAGCAAAGAGTTCCCGTCTTTGATCTCTGCTGGGTCTTACAGATCTGCCTTTTAGAGAGAGAGAGAGAAAGGAAGAGAGAAGGGGGGAGAGAGAAGGGAAGAGGGGGGAGAGATCTTTGGCAGGTGCAGAGTGAAAACCTCTTTCAGCTACACTGAATTCTGGAGACTGGTTGGACTAGTAGCTCTGCAGCTCCAGCTTTCAGTGGGTGTGTTAAATATTATGAGCGAGCCATGATTCCTGCCTTCCTCACGTCATAGTTAGGAGATTGGCTAAATAAACGCTACAGTGATAGTAACAGGAAAACCTCAACCAAAAGCGTTTTTTTTTTTCTCCTCCCTCCTTCCCACCCCCCTTTTCATTCTACTGCAGCTCCAACTGGGGCAAGGAGAGGGCGTCTGTTCCACAAAGGTTTGCAAAAAAATAAAAAAGGAAGGGAAAAAAGTGGTAGCAGAGAGAGGAATCTGCACGGATGGCATTGCAAAGTGTCAGCGTGGTCTGTGCCCAGGCTGGGAGCTGCGATTCTGCTCTGTCATTGTCCAGCTCTCCCTCCCTCCCAGCCCCTCGCCGGAGCAAGGTCATCAAGGAAAGCCGTGTGCTTTGCTTCCTCTGGAGGAGCAGCCCTTAGTTTTAATCTGAGATCCTATGGGCTGTCATAATCCGTGAACACACTGCAGGGTAATCTGCCCTCTTTCCTGCTGCTGTTAGCTGTGCAGTTGGCTCTGTGGCTGGGTGGCCTAATGACTAGTAGAGCTGGTGGTCCTGGGACCAGGGCAGCCTCTGGACCCCAAGGGGTGCTCTTGGTGGTTGTCTAAGTCTGGAAGAAGGGACAAGCCACTCCAATGGTCTTCAGGTGATGAGGCAGGGATGCTCTGTGCTGCTGATTCTGACTTTGGGCAGGGGGTCCCCCGGATTTTATGGTCCTTAGCAGGGCTCAAACAGAATGGCTTCAGTAGGAATGAGAGTGGCAAAGCGCTTCTGCATACCCGCCACCACCTATCCACAGAGTCATCTCAACACTGATCATGCTGGCCCATTTTTCCCTGGATTAAACAATATTAAAGTATTTCTTTCCCCAAAAAAAGTATCCCTCCACTGCCAGACTCCATCAAGCACTGTTCCTGCACTGGGTGCTTATGTAGAGCCTTGTGCTATGCACTCCCTTGAAGCACATCCATGCACTGTTACAGTGTCATCATGTTTTGCACAATGGAAGTAATGCTTTTCCCACAGAAAAAGAAAATTTATGAACAAAAAGAGCTGACAGGGCCATGGTCCCATGGACTGCGCTGTACCTTTATGGAGGAACAAGATTTGCTCTCCTACGGGGACCTCATAATACTTTAGTTCAGAGGTACAGCTCAGTGTAGGTACAGCACTTTGATTCTCTTAGAAGCCATTCTTTCACCCTGGATCCTTCAAGAACTGGTATATTAATCATAGCAAACCATTCTGCTATGAAGCCAAAGGCAAGGCTTCCCATCTTTCATCAGCTTTTCCACCAAGATCAGTTCAGTCAAAGGGCATCTGATCAATTGACCAAGAGGACAGTAACACTGGTTCCTTGTGTGTCATTGCCTCCCACCACTGCTCAAAAGCAAGTCTGTATGGTTCTGCCTGGGAAATCAAGGTCTGTTCATAAGTTAACTACCTCTCTATGTAGTGTGCTAAAGTTCAGCTTATTTAAATCTAGTTTAGCAAATTGACATTTTAGGTGCATCAGGCAGAGTCTGTCAGCTTTGGTTCAACTGGGGAACGCACCGCTGTTGGAAGGGGATATGATATCTGATGAGGGCCCAGCATGAATAGCATGTAGAAAAACATCTGGTTTTGTGTTTTGTTTTGTTGTTTGTTTTCTTTTTGCCTGCCTGCGGCTGCAGCCTATCTCCTGCTGAGCTTCTGGTGCTGTCTTTTAGGGAACTCAGCTGAGCTGGATTACCAATCAAGCCCAAGGAGACAAAAGGAGGCAGGTGGAAGCAAGTGTCTGTGCCTTGGTGAGTGGAGTGATGGAGGGAGCAGTTAAAGCCAGTGCTTCAGGATGGGTGAGTGGTCTTGGGAATTATCTCACAAAGTGGCTAACTGAGGCTGCCGTCAGTGTGAAGCTTTGTGTTCCTGTTGATGGTCTGCAGGCATATTTTTCCTTAAATTGCCTGCTGTCTTTCAGGCTTCAGTCTTTCCCAGCTGGCATTAGCAGGTGCTGTTACCTTAATCAGATTTTTCTTTTTTTTTTTTCCTCTTCATTTAGTGCAATAAAGCAAGCTTTAAAGTAAAATAATATCAGGTAATTCTTTGCTTCTTAATGCCTTTTATCCACTGATGTGGTCATCTGCTAAATGAGAGGTACTGGCTAGTTGGCCAACACTATCAGAGAGGAAGTTTGTGGCTTTGCTTGGGACTGTGGGGCAACATGTGAGTCCCAAGCCTTTCTTCCTCCATTCTGGAGGCAGTCTGCTAATGATCAGCACCACTAGTGTATTATAGCCCACTGTACCTCTAAGATCCGCTGATTGGTAAAGCAAGGGCATGAAGCCAAGAGATACCTAGCAGCTCATACTGGAATGGGGAAAACATCTCCAGCACATCTTAACATTAGGAGGATACCAGCCTCCATACTTTCCCATTGTTCTTTCCCATTAAGAAGTTCAAGAATGCAACCCTGATCTTGATTTGGTGCCATGTGTCTTGGGTGTGAGTGAAGGGGATCCCCCTGCCTCTCTAATAATCTGTCTGGGGACACAGAGTAAGTGACAATCTTGTGTTTGCATTCCTGTTGGTAGCTCCATGGAGCTGTCAGGGAGCCTGGTGTTAGGGTCAGGCTGGAGATGAGAACCTGAATATCTACTGGGTTGGGAGGGCTGAGATGACTTGTGGTCAGGAAGCTACTGAGACAAGTCAGGAGCTGGCTTGAAGGTCAGGATAGCCTGGAAATTGGGCAGCAGGTACAAGATAAAGAGCAGGCAGGGCAGGAAGGCTCAGGGACCAAGTCCAAGGGCTACAAAGGCTGGTAAAGCTTCCCAGGACAACCTTATTGCTGACTGTGGGCATATGTGAGTTTGGTGCAGGAGAGCTTTTGTGCTTTGCTGTTGTCTGGGTTGTGTGTGAGCTGCTCCTAACAAAGAATGGTGCCATTTTTCCGCTGCAAGGGAAGAAATGGGGATTTGTGTCCAGCTGGTTGAATTTCAGCTCTACCTCACTGCTTATGTACCTTGATGCTCTGGCCCATCCCCTTTCAGTGCAAGCGCAGTGTTCACAGGCAGGTTACCTCCTCCTGGTTCAGATATTTGCCTTCAAGACTTGGAGTTGATGGGGAAACAAAAATTCTTGGTAACTGCTGACTGTTGTTCAACCTTTTCTTCAAACAAGCTTTTAACCACAGAGCTTGTGTATGTAGAGCCATGGGGTCTATGTAATAAAGCCTGATTTGGGTAGTTGCAGAAGTTAGTTGTTTATTATTTTACTTTCTGAGGTCTTGGGCTCAGTAAGAAAAATGTAAATATTTCTCCTTATCTAAACTGTGCTTTCATATTGAATTCCAGTACATGGCAAACAGCTTTTCATTTCTGCTGTGCTGTGTGTTGGACCAGCATTACCCCTATAATTGCTAGCATGATGTAAACAAGGACATAATAAGTTCTTAATGGAATATTTTGACATTAATAAGTTATTACATACATCTCAATAGCTTCAATGAAATCAAGTCCTTTACATCAACTCCTCATTTTCTTGTTTTGGCCATTGAATTAAAATGTCTTTCCTCTATTTTCTTGGAAGTATTTGAATGTTAGTGGAAATTTCACACTGCATTACTACAATCACAAGCCAAGATTGCTTTGGATCTCAACACACTTTTTAATTTGATATTACAAATTAACACTAAGCGCTTTTTTTTTGCATGTTGTACCATTGCTTTTATTTAATCAAGAATTCAGGAGTGGTTACTGTAGTATATCCTGCCATTTCTTCATTGGTTTTGTGCAAGAATTAATAGTTTATCTGCTGATGAAATCTGTGTAGATGTTTATTTTCCCCATTTTTGTCTGCTTGCCTCGCTGAGCAGCAACAATGGTGAGTGTATGTGATAATGTACACAGGTAAATAAATGAAGCATGGTTTTGGGTGAGTAAACATACCAGCTATTTTCTGTTACAATGGTTTACAGCCTTCTGATGTAAAGCCTGAATGCAGCAGGGCTAACTGTAAGTCAGGCCTGATTGCACATTTTCAATCAAGGTAATATTTCTATTGTTAGTCCTAATGGAAAAATGGATTTTCCTTTCTGAAAACATCTATCCATGATTCTGGAAGTCCCAAGGGCATCATGTGCTTTTCTTGGCCCCTCTGGTGATGCTGCCTAGGGTGCTCTTCCTGCTCTCACTCTCTTTCCTCCCTCTGAAGATTCATGTGCTGACCCAATTTATTGGTGCTTTGCCTTGTAAACACAAATCACTCTGGCAATCTAGTGGGTACTGCATATTAAGCTCCCACACTGTGAAATCACCTTTATTGCTAAGGAATATGCTTGGTACTGAACAGAAGGAAATTCCATAAGCTTGATTATTTCATAGTAAACTTCTTGTTGGTGCATGAAGGATCAGTGAGACCTCTTTGAAGTGGTGTGTTAATATATTATGAGGAGGGGAAAAAAAAAGAAGTCAAACTAATGTTGCCTTGGTTGCCTTCCAGCACCAGGATTTTGTTAGCTATATGATGTTTTTTAATAAGTCTTGACCAAATCACTTCCTCCAGATCAACCAGGTGGTATGGCCAGCATTCCTTCCTGTGATGGTTTGCTAAGGTTGACTGGAGGGGCATTAAGCTGCAGGCTTGAGCTAAATAGTGATGAAAGGAGGGACATGTGATTGGCTTCCCATGTTGCCAGCAGAGCTGGCTGGTGCTGTCAGATCATCAGAGCTGGGTAGCTCATCCTGGAAATGCATCACCACTCCCAACTGATTTCAGAAAGCCCAAGCTTCCAGATTCAGCCTTTTGCTTTGAGTGTTCCAATTCTTTAATTTGGGATCCAGTATTCTAAATGATCCAAAACCCCACTGGTTGCTTGATAAATCTGTTGAAAGCAGAGAACTCATTATTACATTAAGGCAGTGAAACAGAAGGCTTTCCCCTGCCTGTTTTGCAAGGCCTCAGCTGTTGCTGCTGTAGATCAAGGGTTAGCTCCTCAGCTGGTGTCAGCTGGCCTTGATTTCAATGAAATGCCATCTAATTATATCAGCTGAGGATCTGGTCCACAATGCTTAATTATTCTATTGGCTGGAACAAAAAGCTGCCTGGCAATGCAAGAACAAAACCTGTCATTGTTGTTGTTAAAGCAATGTGATTGGCCTTTGGAGGGATCACATTTGCTCTAGTCATTAAGTGGAGTAGTAATCTAGCATATAGCTACATTATGGAGGGGCTGATAAATCTCATTCTGAAGTGCTAGGATGTTGTAAAGAAAATCAGCTGTTAAGTTGTGTTCTTATCTACATTACTATTTAAATTAAGTCAAAACAAATTATCTTGATGTGCATGACATAAGAGCATGCACTACTTGAGTTACCATAACTTCATCTTTCTATAACAACTGTTTGCTGTTTTCAATAACTGTATTCCTTGTGGACTTTCTGAGTTCAAGTAATAGTGGATGAATCTTCTCAAAGTGTGTAAAACATGGCTTGCTAAATTACACAATTATTTTGCAGATTCATAGAAATTGATGGAGCTGCATGATTTATGCCTGGAGAAAATGTGTCCTGATGTTAAAACAAGATGTAGTTACACATGAACAGAGGGAGCTTCTGCATGCTGCAGTGTGCAGTCACACACAGACCCATTTGAGTGCATGTGAATATATAAATGCATGCACACATGAACAGTTTAATAGTATATTTAGGAAGCTGTTCTGGGGATTCCTTTTTTTGTTGCTGTCTAATTTTGATTTGTATGGATGTTTTGACTTCTTAAATTGAGCTTTTTTCCCCCCCTCTTTGTTGGATAAATTTTCAATCAGATATCTTTAAAACTTGAAGTAAGAGAGCAAACCACAAAGAAATTTTAAGCATGCCACAGCCTGAAATAGAAATTAAAATACTAATAAAATACCCTCATGGGAGAGTCTTACAACTAGGCAGTGTAACCTAACAGGCTGTGAATTCCTCTGCCCTCAGGAGACACCAAGACTGTTATCTAGCTTGGATGCTCCTTGGCTATATGTGATGCTGAAAAGATGCTTCAGTTCTGTTTCCTCATGTGATAGGAAGGATACCATGGAGCATTTTGAGATCTATTAATAAAAGCCACTATAAGAGAGAAAATGATGATATTTGAAGTCTCACTTATTTGGAAAATGATTCATACTCCTGACTTTAACCCAGAAGGAACTGAAACTCTTAAGAATATTTTACATAGGAAGGCCTGAAACGCTGGGACTTCTGGTGAGTCCTTGAGTCATGAAACCCCTTAAACTTAGTAGTGACCTTATGTATATGTAACCAGTCATGTATCCCGAAGAACAGTGTGACATGACTGGAAGTGCAGAGCACAGCGAGTCTCTCCAGTGGTACAGGGCCTCATGAGAGCCCCCTTGCACCTCCTCTTTCCCCCAGTCCCTTCTGGTTTTCTGCTACCTCATGTTTTGTTTGCATCCTGTCCTTACAGTGTTTTCCTGAGCACTGTTCAAACACAATCACAAATCTGCTTTTGGTGATTTTTATATTAAAGACACTGAAAACTTTGACCATGGAAGATTCCTGTGTAATAGTTATCACTTAAAAATTAAAAAATTAAGGAATGGTTCCTCTTTTCCCACCAGTTGATGATATTTGTCTGATCAAACCTTGCTACACAATCCACTGTAAGGTTAGAGAAACACATGCAAAAGGCAGGTGCTTGCAAGGGGTACTTGAGTTTACAGCAGCCCTTTTTCTTTCCCACATTATGAATTGTTACTTAGTAGGTTTTGTAGTGGAAGCATAGTTTTGTAAATATTAAAAAAATCTACTTTCTATATTCCTAGTCCCTAATAAATTTTTCTTAATTTATTAGC